ATAAACCAAAAACCATGGCCTGGCTCTTTGCCTGTCTTGCTTTGGCCCTGCTGGGAGTGTGGAGGGACAGGATCTGTGCCCTATGGGAGGCTTGACAGGAGGTCTAGAGAGACCAGGACCCCATGGCCACTCTGGCCATCACCACTGCCTGAAGGGACCCCATTTTCCTGGAAAGAGTTGGAGGAAGGGGAGATTAATTTCAGGGGACAGAAGACATGTACGAATTTTTTTTAAATAATTCTTTATTGTTGTATTACATATATCCCCCTTTCTCCCCCATTAACGCCCCCAGCCTGCCCCAGTCCCTCACCACCCCACTATCTGTGGCCATGGGCCATAAAAGGTTCTTGGTTGAATACTTCCCACCCACCCACCCTCCCCCGCCTTCCCTCTGAGATTCTGCACTCTGTTCCATGCTTCTGTGTCTCTGGATCCACTTCATTCATCAGTTTACTTTGTTACTTAGATTCCACATATGAGCGAGATCGTGTGATCCTTATCTTTCTCTGACGAAGAGTAGTAAGAATTTCTAATATCCAATGGCATGGCCTGTCAAAGACAGACTTGAAAGGGTTTGTTTCCTTTTCCTGAGCAGCTACCGTGTTTTTACCCGTCGAGGAGAGATTCTTCTTCCCCGCATTGTTAAAATTTTGAAATATGCAAAATAGGGTGCAAGAAGTATGTTGACAGCTAAACATGCAATTGTGAACACCCATAAAGCACCACCCACATGAAGAAATAGGACACTGACAGCCCTGAGATGTCTGAGAGACCAATTCCCCTCAGGAGAAATAGCATTCTTTCTCACAGCTTAGAGCTGCCCGGGGGTAACTGCTGTGGCAGAAGGGAGTGAGGCCCATCATTGCTGGTGTCCAAGTTGAAGTGTAGAGAAGAGGAAATTTGGGGCAGTTCTTAGGAAAGATGTGTGTGGAGTGGGTAGTAGTTGTGAGGATATAAATATATTGCAACCAAGTGGAGATGGGATCCCCTCTGCACCTCTCTCCTGGCTCTTCCAGGATGTTCTATGACTTTCTTGCTAACAACCATCTAATTCCTCTATTTGACGCTGCAAATCTCTTTTCTACTGCTTCTGCATTTTCACAGTGTCTGCTCCCTCATGCCTTTTCCCATTTCTCTCTCATTTTAACTTTTCCACTTCACCTTCAACCATCAACGGCTCCATTCTCCCAGGATTTTTAAAATTTTATTTATTCATTCATTCATTGAAACAGAGAGAAACATCAGTTTGTTGCCCCACTATTTGTGCATTCATTGGTTGGTTCTTGTATGTGTCCTGACCAGGGATTGAACCTGCAACCTTAGCATATAGGAAGAATGCTCTAACCAACTGAGCTAGCTCACCAGGACTCCCAGGATCTCTCAGGTCATATTTTCATGAAAGAAAATCCAACTGGTCCAGCTCAACTTTTCTCCTTCAGCCACATCATAGGTCCCTGAATGGCCAATGGTTTGACTGCATTCTGGTCAAGTGACCAACCCTATCCAATCACCACTGGGTGTTTGGAGTCATGCTCTATGAGATATGTGGATGGAGTGGTTTTCCCCAAGGGTTGTGAGATGTCTTGTATGCATCAGTCTCCCTGAACCTCCATGAAAGTCCCTTCATGCCAGAAATCCGGAGGAAATCTTTCATGCCTGACACTAAGTCCCTGGTGCCACAAATGCGTATCTGGAGGGGCTACCCAAAGGTCATCTCAGCATGAAGAATAGCCCAGATTTGGAAGCAGCCCAAATGTCCATCAGTAAATGAGTGGATAAAAAAGCCGTGGTACATCTACACAACAGAATACTGCTCAGCCCTAAGAAAAAAAGAAATCTTACACTTTTCTGCAGCATGGATGGACCCGGAGAGTATTATGCTAAGTGAAATAAGCCAGTCAAAGAAAGACAAGTACCATATGATTTCACTTATATGTGGACTCTAAAGAACAAAATAAATGAACATAGTGGAGGCAGACTCATGGATACAGAGAACAGCCTGGCAGTTGTCAGAGGGGAGAGGATTGGGGGCTGGTTGAGAAGAGTGAAGGGATTAAGCACGGGAAAAAAGAAAAGACTCATGGGTACAGACAACAGTATGGTGCCTACCAGAGAGAAGGGGGTAGGGGAGGTAGAAGAGGAAAAAAGGGATAAATGGTGATGGAAGAAGACTTGACTTGGGGTGGTAAAGATGCAATATGGATAACTTCCCTCTAGCGGAGAAGCTCTCTGAATCTTTGGACCCATTAGCTTTTATTTGATATATACCCTGATACTGGGAGGAGATGAACCCAAGATTCCTCATCGTTATCTTTTACCTGCATAACCTCGGTAAAATATTTATGTGAGAGGTTAACGAACTTGCATTACCTGTAAAAGAAAAATGTACCTCTCCATTGTCTTTTGTATCCAATCCTACAGATTTGCCCACTTTTTAAAAATTCAACAAAGAGGGCTAGCACAAGTCATTGGCAAAGAATTCCACTCCTGGACTTGTATAAAGGAGCTGAGAGGCAGGACTAGAATACACATTTGCCCTTTAGCAAAGCAAACAGGCATATCAAAGGTAAAGTTTGGCAAACAGTAAAACAATTATCAAGTTAGGGCAGTGGTTAGCAAACTCATTAGTCAACAGAGCCAAATATCAGAAGTACGACGATTGAAATTTCTTTTGAGAGCCAAATTTTTTAAACTTAAAACTATATAGGTAGGTACATTGTTATTAACTTAATAAGGGTACTCCTAAGCTGGCCTTTGCTAAAATCGTCCTCAATCTGATTGAGGTACGTTCACTGAGGTCGACCCCTTCCAACTCTCCCATCCACACTCGTCTTGTATACTTGCTTCGTCTATCTCCTTTCGTTCATCCTCTCTATATGTCTAAACCTACTCAACATACCTTTCTCAATCCTCGACACTACATCTTTCCACAACGTTCCCTAAAATTAACTTAATAAACTTTACTTAAAGTTTTAAGTCTTAAACTATAGGTACTTTGAATAAAACTTGATATCATACTTAATAACGATATTATTTATTGATAAAATTAAATTCCTTACAATTTACCTTACAATATCCATAAAATTAAATCATGACAATGACTGACAAACACTAATGTGAACAATGGCCTTGCATCTCCTTGGAAAGTTTGGGTAAGTCAGGTTTGTATGTTGTTGTTTTTAATTTTAGGCACGATTCCAGGTTCTCATCAATAAGACCACTTCTCAATTTACTCTTGATAAGGTCCATGCTTGAAAATGATTGTTCGCATAAATATGTAGACCCGAATAAGGAAAGAACAGCAAATGCTAGTTTTTTCAGTTGATTATATGAGTCAGGAATACTATTCCAGGTGTTAAAAATCAACATATCTTCCTTCTCCAGGTCTTTCAGAGCAGACCACTTGTGCTGTGAACTAAGTTCACATCTGTTTTCCTCCAATATTTCTATGTCAGCACAAAGACGTTCAAATTTCGAGCTCCACAATTCTTTGTTTTTTAAATCCAGCAATTGCATTTCAAAGTTGCCAATGTCAATATTAAAGGGAGAAAAATTTAATTCTGTTACAGTAGCACTGAGAGGATTTTTAACAAAGGCTAACGTCGCTTTGCTGTTTCTGAATTCCTGAAACCTGTTGAGAAAAGCTTCCCTCATATTTAAAAGTGTTGTTTTGAAATAGCAAATGTCAATATCAGAATTATTTTCTTGGCGATGTTTCAACAGGCTTGGAAAGTGAATCAAAGTTTCTCTTTCAAAATCTTGAGCAAAAAGAGATAATTTGTTTTCGAATGAAATAACTTCTTCTAACATCGAAAAAGCTGTGTTTCCTTTCCCCTGTAGTTTATGATTAAGCTGATTTAGATGAGACGTAACGTCTACCATGAAATAAAATTTTTGGATCCACTGATCGTTCGTTAGTTCTGGATAGTCAATACCCTTCTCAAGGAGAAATGCTTTAATTTCTGTTAATAACGAAGCGAAACGTTTCAAAACGTTTCCTCTTGATAACCAACGTACCTTGTTATACAGCAGAAGATCTGCGTACTCACTCTCCATTTCCACTAAAAATTCTTTAAATTGGCGATGACTAAGAGCTTTAGCTATAATGGAGTTGATAATCTTAATCACCAATTCCATAACTTTGCAAATTTCTTCTGGAAATGTCTGCGCACAAAGCGCTTCTTGATGAATGATGCAATGGTAAGTAAGTATCTCGTGATTAATTTTTTCTTTCAAAATAGCAACAAACCCGTTTCTTACGCTGGTCATACTTTTTGAACCGTCTGTTGAAATCGAGACAATTTTATCGAGTGGAATATGTTTCTCAATGCACTCAATTACAGCATTTGCTATATCCTCTCCACGTGTTTGACCTTTGAGTGGCAATAATCCTAAAAGTTCTTCTTTAGGACCTGTAGATGAAATAAATCGTACAAAAAGTGAAACTTGCGCTGTATCATTTATGTCACAAGACTCGCCAACTGCTATTGATAAAGCTGAAACCAATTTAAGATCTTCGACTTGCTGGTTGGTTATATTCGAAGACATTTTGACTGTTCTATCTTTCACTGTTTCAGCAGACAATGGTAACTCTTTAATTTTTTTAAGAATATCTGCTTTGTTCTTAAAATCCCGAAATAGCTCTTCGGATGCATTTATAAAACAACTTTTTATATATTCACCATCTGTATATGGTTTTCCTCTCTTAGCAATCTCTTGACTAACCACAAAACTTGCAATATTAACATTGCTGGAAGATGGCATCCAGTAACTAAATTCAGAACTTGATTTTTCTTGATTCTTCTGAAGTTCCTCAACTGCTTTCTTCCTTGCATCACCGACAGGATATTTAATACTAAATGACACGTGTTTAGTTGTAAAGTGTCTCTCCACATTTGATTTCTTGTTATGCGCCAATTTTTCCTGACAAATAAGACAGGTCGGAAGGCCATTTAAGTTTTGAATAAATGCGAAAGTCTCGGTCCATTCAACTTTAAATTCACGGTTTTCGTCTTCCGTTCTTCTTCGCTTCTTCTTTGTAGCCATGTCAAACAGGGCACCTAAAAAAATGTTTCATTTTATAACAATAAAGCCACCAACACAAAATAATTACAATTCTTAAATTGATGACAAAAATACCTGTAGAATTTGTAGCTGGTTGGAAAAATACAGGTAACTTTATGCGAGTAGGTACTTTTGTCACCCGCGTACGATTTGCGGATGTGACTAGCACTAACCACTGCACAATGAGACTGCTGTCTGGCTCACTCAACTCATGCATAAATCTCGCGCGCCTCCCCCGTGCTGAGGATCCCGCGGTCCGCCTGCGCCGTGTCTCCTGTCGCCCAACCGACCAACACCCCCCACTTCTTCTAATGCCACTTCTTCAAAATAAGACTCGCCCAGGCAGAAAACCGACATCTGCGCATGGGCCACGAAGTTTCAATTGCACTGTACGTGCGTGCCCGCACGTGGTATTTTGTGGAAAAGCCACATTCAAGGGGCCAAAGAGCCGCATGTGGCTTGCAAGCCACGGTTTCCCCGCCACTGCCCTAGCCGGTTTGGCTCAGTAGTTAGAGTGTTGGCCCATGGACTGAAGAGTCCTGGATTTGATTCTGGTTGAGGGCATGTACCTCGATTGCAAGCTCAATCCCCAGTCCAGCTCAGGGTGCGTGTGGGAGGCAACCAATTGATGTGTCTCTCCCTCTACCTTCCAATCTAAAAAAAAAAATCAATGGAAAAATACCCTTGGGTGAGGATTAACAGCAGCAAAAGCCAACCTCCTTGGTTCTGCTGCCTTAGCTGCAGGGAAGAGGGAAACAGAGAGCACCCCCATCACCCTGCAGCACCCCAATGTGCATGGAGGTTGCAGAAATAAGGCCCTTTCCCCTTTTCAAAAAGGAGAGGAGCATGGGGAAATCAGAGTCTCTGTACATGCAGGTCCTCAGCTGTGGAACAGGAACAAACCACTGAGCTCACTGGGCTCCTGAGGTCTGAAGGAACAAGTGTAGAGCACTGTGCATGCTCAGAGTGGGTGCTCAGCACCTCTCATTAGACAAACATCACCACAATTTAGGTCTTTTTAACAAGAAATTTGTAACATTAGAAACTTAACATGATTATTATGGAGTTAGTAAGAAGATACTTCTGTTCTTACCAAGAAGGATGGGGGGGCTGTTGACTCCTGGAGGAACCACCTGCAGAAAGGAGTAGGGAGGGAAAGCAGTCAGCGGGGTGCAGGGCAACCATGGTCCCCCATGCATCCCTCCCCAGAACCAGGGTCCCTCAGACCCCTGGGTGTCAAAGATCCCAGGGGGCACCGTGTCCTCAGGGGAGGTCAGAGCCCAGTGCTGGACATCATGGGGACCCTAGTCGCCCTCTTCACCCAGGCCCCAGATCCACTTGCCTACAGTCCTAAGGGGACAACACAGACAAGAACTCAAAATTCCAGGCAGGAAAAACGACTAATACATGGCCCTAAGCTGCAACAAGGGAACCCCCATTGCCTGCCTTCTGATACTGTATCTCCTCATTGCCACCTCTCAGTGGCTTATCCCTGGGTGTCACTACTTGTATGACCTGCAGCAACTGACCTAAGCCCCACTGTTGAAAATGGGAATAGATTCGCCTTGCAGACAGGCTGCTGGCAGAATCCAATGAGATGAAGGAGGCGTCCCCTTGACTCAGCTCCAAGGTGGGTCCGATGAGCACATCCCTGCACGTGCTCCTCCCACACCTCAGGCCTGCTTTCCCACCCAGCTCCCCAAAGCCTCCAGCTCTGGGCCAGTCCTGCATCACCACTGCTTGCTTCTTAACCTGGGGAAGCAGCTATACCAGATCCTTCTGAATCAGAGAAAAGTTAAATGCCTGCCATCAGGATCTGGGAGGATCTGATGAGTTCTCAAAAGTACTGAAACAGGGCAAGCACTCCCTATTGTGAGGTACTCTTTAGCAAGCAGAAACCCTTAAATCCTAGTTTTGTGTAGAAATATGCTGTCCACTTGTATGCATATATGCATGGCCCATGAACAGACAATGGGGTGGTGAGGGTTTGGGGGGACGGAAGGACAAGGGACAGGCTGGAGAGGATCAATGGGGGGGAAAAGGGAACAGGTGTACTGGTTAATAATGTGGATTTTGTAATCAAAACACGGTAATTTCAACAGAAACACCAAAAGTGCTTTATTCAAAATAATGACCATCACTAGCTACACATTTCTCCCATCTTTCTGGTAATTTGTGGATACCATCCCAATAGAAATTTTCTTATTTTGAAGCAAACCATTCAGAGACCCAATTTTCCACCTCTTCGTATGTTTTGAAGTGCTGCTCAGAAAGTGCGTGTGCCATCAATCTGAACAAGTGGTAATCTGAAGGAGCAAGATCTGGTGAATACAGCAGGTGGGTTAATACTTTCCAGGCAAGATCTTTTAATGTGTCTTTAACTGTTTTTGAAGTGTGTGATGGGGGGTCATCATGAAGCAAAATTACTTTGCAGTATCTTCTGGCCCATGCTGGTTGTTTTATGATCAAAGTGTGGTTCAAACTGATTATTTGTTGTCGGTATCGATCAGTATTAACAGTTTCACCTGGTTTTAGAAGCTCATAATACACTACACCTTCCTGATTCCACCAAACGCAGAACATTATCTTCTTTCCAAAGCGATTTGGCCTTGCAGTCGATGTTGATGGTTGACCTGAATCAACCCATAATTTTGTGCATTTGGGATTCTCAAAATAAATCCACTTTTCACTGTCGGTCACAATTTGATGCAAAAAGACTTTCTTTCTTGCCGCCGAAGCAGCATTTTACTGATGACTTTTCGGTTTTCCATTTGTCTTTCGTTCAGTTGATGTGGCACCCATTTTCCTTCCTTTAAAATCTTTCTTATTGCTTGTAAACAATCGGAAATTGTTTGCTGAGCAACGTCTAACCTTTCTCCAAGTTGTTTTTGAGTTTGACACGAATCTTCATCTAATAAGGCTTGTAATTATTGGTCTTCAAACTTTTTTGGTTGACCTGGATGTTCTTTGTCTTTCACATCGAAATCATCACTTTTAAAGCGTTTAAACCAGCATTCACAAGTATCTTGAGATGGAGCATGTTTACCATAAGCTTCCCAAAGTATACAACTTTCAGCAGTACTTTTCTTCAATATAAAGTAATGAATTAAAACTTCTCCCAAATGCTCTTTTTTTGGCACGAAATTCGACATTTTTAAGTATAAACAATCTATCATGTTAACACCTTCAGAAAATTTGACATAAAGTTTTGAAGCTTGCTGTCAATGCAAAATAGTCCCTCGGCAACCACGCCAACAGCACTTAAGAGACTGGGAAACATTAGGGGTGACAACGGCATTGTCATTAAGTAGAAAATACTATGTCAGGAATGTAAGTGGCAACTACTTTGGGTGAAATGAATTTACTTTCAAAACACTAAGTGCAGAAAAAAAATAAATAAGAACACTTTAAGTGCAAATAACACAAACATGTGACTTGTTTCAAATATCAAGATTATGTGTATTTCCTGTATGTTTGAAAATTTCACTAATAAAAAGTAAAAAGTGTTGTTGCTCAGCCCTAACCGGTTTGGCTCAGTGGATAGAGCCTCGGCCTGCGGACTGAAGGGTCTCAGGTTCCATTCTGGTCAAGGGCATGTACCGTGGTTGCGGGCACATCCCCAGTGGGGGGTGTGCAGGAGGAAGCTGGTCGATGTTTCTCTCTCATTGATATTTCTAACTATCCCTCTCTCCCTTCTTCTCTTTAAAAAAAAAAAATCAATAAAATATACTAAAAAAAAAAATAGAAAAAGTGTGCTCAGTAGTTGACTGTGGACTAATGAATCAGGTCAACGTTCAATTCCCTGGTCCAAGGGCACATGCCGGGTTGCAGGCTCGATTCCCCAGTAGGGGGCGCTCAGGAGCCACTGATATTTCGATCTCTTCCCTCTCCCCTTTCTCTCTGGGGAAAAAAAAAAAAAAAGTAAAAAGGGGCACGAAAAAAAAGAAACGTATGGGGCAGTGGCGAAAAGACTGCAAATGCCCATGATGAATGAATGAGAAAAATCTTCCCACTTGGGACATAGTGGTTTGGTGGGGGAAAACGGGAAATGAGCTTCATGGCCGTTAGGCTGGGGCGTGCCATTGCCCAGCAGCCAGGAAGCGCAAGTCCAAGGCCTTAATGCAGTGGTTCTCAACCTTGGCTGCACATTACAATCACCTGGGAATCTTTTTAAAATCCTGATTTCTGGGCCTCATCCTCCGGAAATTCTGTTTCTTTGTGATGGGGTGGGGCCACAACATTAGTAACAAAGAAACAGAATTTCCGGAGGATGAGGCCCGGAAATCAGGATTTAAAAGATTTCCAGGTGCCTCTAACGTGCAGCCAAGGTTGAGAACCACTGCATTAAGGCCTGACTAGCCCAGAACTAACGTTTAACCGACTGTGCGGAGTGACGGGGTCAACAGGATTCCTGAAGGCGAACAGAGGCCTCGTTCGCTTTCTCCTGAGGCCATTCCTATCCGCTTCTCAGAACACCAGCCATTCGCGTGGAGACCCCACTCCCACGTTCCCCTTCGTGGCCTCTGGGGTCCGAACTCCCCTCAGTCTCTGTTCGAGGCGGCAAAACATGCGCAGCCGCCTGGGGTGGGAAACACAGAAGCGACATCCGAAGGGAAGCACGGGCGGTAAATCTCAGGAGAACTCGCCGCCTCACGCCCCCCGCCCCCCAGGAAGACGGACAAAATGGCGGATGCCCGGGTCGCGAGCCGCTGAGAGGGCGAGAGTCTTCCCCACTGCGCGCGCCCCCCACCCGCTCCAGACGCCCCAAGATGCGGGGCGAAGGCCGTGGTCCCGACCACGCCACAGCGTGGCCACCCCGCCACAGCCCCGGGCACCTCATTACACGCGCGGCCCAGATCCTCAAGCCCCGCCGCGCAGACGGAAAGAAACCGAAGACGAAGGAAACACTCACCGTATTACGACTTTCTCCTCAACAAACGCGGCGGGGCTCGCGCTCGCGTCCCACTTTAGGGAGCGCGCCGCTCGCGAGGACGCCCCACGGCCAGTCTGGGCTCCGCCCCGAGGCGTCTAGTGGCGGCGCCGGTGCCCGAAACCCCGCTTCGGTGCTTGAGGAAGGACAGTGTCCGTCCCCGTTAGAATCCTCCTGAACGTCGGGACATAATACGTTGCCCCCGTAGGCGGAGAACACAAACCGAGGAAACATCGCCGCCTGTTGTCCTGTTAGGAGCGTCAGGCACTTCGGTGGACGGCCCCAAAGAAGGATCGGAAAGGGGAAGGACCCCGAGTGGGGGCGGTGCCCGCGCCACAGCCCTGGCGGAAGGGGCGGGGCCGACCCCCGACGTAATCCCAGCGGCAGAGTGGGAGGCGGGGCCAGAGCTGAGATTGACAGGGGGGAGTTCTGGGAGAGCGCTCACGTGGCGCGGAGTTAGAGGCTTAGCCTGGACTCTGGTTCGGGGCGGGGAGGTGCGGGGGGCGGGGAGGCGGGGAGAGGAGAGCGGGCTGGGGTCCTGGACTCCGGGGTCCGAGGAAGGAGGACCGCGACAGGACTCTGGGGCTGAGGCAGGACCGGGTTTGGGGCTCGTTCCCCGGTTTTTAGATCGCCAAAGACCTGGGGGCTGGGTTTCATGGTAGGGTTGGCGATCTAAGGCATGTCTTCCAACAGACATGATGGTAAAACGTTTTTGTTTTTTTTATATTTTATAAATTTTTTACAGAGAGGAAGGGAGAGGAATAGAGAGTTAGAAACATCGATGAGAGAGAAACATCAATCAGCTGCCTCCACCACACCCCCTACTGGGGATGTGCCTGTAACCAAGGTATGTTTTGTTTTGTTTTGTTTTTTGTTTTGTTTTGTTTTTCAAAGATGAAAAAGGAAACTTTAATATATCAACCCACACACCGGAGGTCGCTGTGGTCAACAGGTCGGTGCGGACTCTTTATGGCTCACACACACACACACACACACCACACATGCACACACATACATATACACACTTGCACACATACATACACACACGTGCACACACGTGTGAATAGAACACATATTGTTTAGCTGGTTCCCCTCGTTTTCTGGGTTTTTTTCCTTCCTTCTGGCTGGGAGATTCCTCCCGTTAAGTCTGTAGTCCGAAGTGAAAGGAAGAGACTCGAACTCCTCTCTTAGGAAAAACGAGGCGTTTCCTACCGGGACCGCACGCCCAGTGAAGCCAGGGCTTCGCTGTGGCCACGAGGCGGGGAGTGAGGTGCCGCGGTCCCCTCTGCGCCCGCCTCCTCCCTCCAGTCCTTTGCCCAGGCCTCACGGCACGCTGGTTCCCCGGGCCTTCTTAGGACCTGCCAAGCACACAGTTGCACCCCAGCACCTTTGCATTTGCTGTTCCTTCTGCCTGGAACTCTTTCCCGCTATCTAACTCCATTTGCTCTCTTCCTCTCTTGAGCCATGATTCCACTCAGGTGTCACCTTAGCAGAGAGCCCCCCCCAACCCCCCTTCTCTTTACAGAACAGACCAGTCTCCCTTACACTCCTTTGTTTCTCTTCATAGCATGGATCCCCTAACACACCCAACTCTTCGTTTGTGGTCCTATTATTTTGCCTCCCAGATGAAATGTCAGTTCCGTAAAGACAAGGATTTGCATCCAATTTGATCACCGCTATAGATCCGGTGTCTGGCACATAGTTACAAATCAGCCTGCGTTAAAAAACAACAACAACAACAACAAACCAAATTTGACCCCTGGCCGGGTAGCTCAGTTGATTGGAGCGTTGTCCTGTACACCAAAAGGTTGCAGGTTCAATCCCTGGTCAGGGCACATACAAGCAGCAACCAATGAATGCATAAATAAGTGGAACAACAAATCTCTCTCTCTCTCTCTCTCTCTCTCTCTCTCTCTCTCTCTCTCTCTCTCTCTCTCCCCTCCACCTCCCTTCCACTTTCTCTCTCTGAAAAGCAATGGGAAAAAAATCCTCGTTGGCCTAATTCTTGGCTGGCCTTGTGCCTCAAGTCTCTGTGATAATTCCCTCCCCTCACTTCTACCCTTAAGCCCCATCCTTCTACCCACAGGGCCCAAGGGATGACCTCAGGAGGTATGACAGTTCCACAGAACACTGACAAGGTACTAACTAAGACAAAAGCATATTCTGGGCAAAAGTACAGATTTAAAAATACCGATTAGTAATTTGAGTGGGGGAGACTCAGAGGGGACTGAAAAGGGACAAGAGTCGTGGTGGGTGTGAGGGCCGGAGAGCAGGGTCGTCAGCCCCGTGGCAGGGAGCTGTGGGAGCAGGAAGGAAGGAGGGCCATTCCCATGTCCTAAGTCCAGATGGCCTGGGGTGCCAGGATGAACCAGAAATTCACGTAGTTCATGTAGGAAATGAATCCTGAGGGAGGAAGAAAGCAGAGGGGGTGAGGTGTAGAGTTCACCAACCCAACCTGGACCCCAGTTCTCTCCCCATGCCCAATGATACCCCCTACCCTGTCCCCATATCCATCCCTAGACCCAACCTCAACCCCATTCCCTGCACTGTCCGAATCCATTTCCAAATTCAATCCCATCCCCAGTTCCATCTCATTCCCTACCCTGTCCCCAACCCCTTCACCTGCATTTTCCTCAACCCTCCACCTTCAAACCCAAACCTAACCCATCCCTACCCTGCCCCCAATAATCCATTTCCTAACCCAAACCCAACCCTATCCTCATCCTCAACTCTTTCCCCGGCCGTCCCCCATCGGTATCACTGAACACTGTCAAAACCCAACCCCATCCCAGCTCAGACCAATCGCCAGGAAGGAGAAGATGCCAGTCCATGCCAGGTAGAAGCTACGCCCCAGACTGTAGGTCATGCCTTCCTGCAGGAACTCATGGGCCTGCAGCAGGTAGAACAGGACACCCAATACCATGCTGGTCCCTGCAGGAGTACAGGTGTTAGGAGGCTGGACAGCAGGTGTGTGAAGACCCGTGCCCCTGGTTGTGTAACTGCGTGGCTCTTGCCCATTATTTCCCCACTTCCTTTGCCCACCCTGTATCTCTGCTCACAAGCAGGATAAGAGGCTCCTGACAATGTCCTAGCAGAGGACATTGGAAGTGCAAGTCTTGGTCTTTCTGTGGGCCATGGGCATGTCTAAAACCACAGGCTTTGGGGCCAACTGACTGGAACGCTTGTCTGGCCTCTGCCTCCCACCGTCGGGACACACTCCATCTCTCTGAGCCTCATTCCCCGCATCTGTAAAGTGGGCATAATTGCAGGAACCATCTCCTTGGTTGTCAGGAGAAGAGTTATTGAGGTTGGCCCATTTCCTGGCACAGAGGGAGCCCTCAAGAATCAAGCCAGATTAACATCACTGTACTGGGTCTTTAATTTGGGGTTTCTGAGATAGTGGGTAAGGAACTCTGTCATTCTGGATATTTTAGCTGTATTTTTAAATGACATGAATTAAAGATGATTTGTGAAAAGGAAAAGTTTTTGTTTTCAGGTAGTGAATGGAGTACTGGGTAATTTTTATTTTTAAATTTTTGAGAGAGAGAGAGAATGGAGAGCAAGGAAGAAAGAGAGAGAGAGAGAAACATCGGTTTGTTGTTCCTCTTATTTATACATTCATTGGTTGATTCTTGTATGTGCCCTGATTGAGGATAAAACTCACAACCTTGTTATATCAGAACAATGTTCTAACCCAGTGGTCAGCAAACTGTGGCTCGCGAGCCACATGTAGCTCTTTGGCCCCTTGAGTGTGGCTCTTCCACAAAATACCATTGGCGGGCGCCGCACATACAGTGCGATTGAAACTTTGTGGTCCATGCACAGAAGTCGGTATTTTGTGGAAGAGCCACACTTTGTTGAATTTTTAAAAAGTGGGGAAATCTGTAGCAT